TACTCTTTGATGCTATGCTTACTATTAAAGTTAAACGACCCTGGATTTGTTTTCGCTGTCTCATTGCATTTCGGTCCTGCCGGATGTAAATGTGCAAGTAATTCTCTACGCATCCTTACTCAATACTTTTACTCTACCTGACTTAAACAAAAAAACTTATCACTTATCAACATGGAGACGGACTTTATGACCCTAACCCGTTTCATGCTTGAGGAGCAAAGCCGCTGTGAGGGAGCAACTGGCGAAATGACACAGCTCCTCAACGCCATCAGCACGGCGGTGAAGGCGGTGTCCTCAGCAGTAAGAAAGGCTGGGATGGCTAAGTTGTAAGCACTTCCTTGTATATTAATTTAATTCAGTACTATTATATATCAGCTAGGCCTAAGTAAAACAGATACTGTCGAGGTAATTAACATACTTATAGTGGCTGGGCTGGGGAAGTGACACGTCACGTGTTTATTTTATTATCTAGAGGTATAACTACAGACGTGTCAACCTAGGTACTGGGGGGTGTGTGCAATTTCAAAAAAAGGGGTGTGGCTGCTTAAGTAGGCTTAGGCCAGGAAGATGTACAAAAATAATTACTTTTTACATCTCCCTGCTATTATTATTACCAGTAGATGCTTCTCTTCTTACATACATGCTTTTAAAAGGGAAGAGGATGTTATGATTATTTATTATATTGGTCTTATTGCTCAAAATTGAATCTGAACACCCTACCATTGGGCCTTATTTTGGGCAGTGTTCTAGGAACAAGTGCCTATTTTTAACATATTGTCAGTACACAATGATAAGTCGCATATTTCCCAAATTCCTATACCAACATGCTTCCCAGTAAAGGCAGCCAATCTTTGCACATGATATCTGGTGGGCAGGTATGTAGTTTGTTTCCTGTATAATTTTGACTATTATCCAACGAATTATGCATCATGAATTACAGTGATTTTGAGGACCAAATTTTTAAACAATTTCAGGTACGGTATTGCAGGCTCTCAGAACACAACTGGAGATGAACAAAAGAAGCTGGATGTTCTTGCTAATAATGTTTTTGTTAACATGATAAAATCATCGTTCACTACTTGTGCTATGGTCTCGGAAGAAAATGAAAACCTCATTCTTGTTGATGTTGATAAGGCTGGTAAATATATTGTGACCTTTGACCCACTGGATGGCTCTTCAAACATTGACTGTTTAGTATCCATTGGCTCTATATTTGGTATATGGAAAAAGGTAGTGTTAATTAAGTTAATTACATTTTTACACAACACAGTACATACAAAAACAATATAGCTTTCAGAATTGAATTCCTTGTCTATTTGTATCCCAAGGTGGGTCTATTGCTGGGTACTACCCTTGGACAGGGAGGGTGACATAAAATTTGTTCATTTTCTTTTTCAGTTTATTTAACTTTAAAAACTAAATGATTTGAATGAGAGATAGAACTTAACATTACGATAAAATACTTACAGATTAATCATGCACTACCCAGAACCTACTCTACAGTGATTGTCCAATAGAGCATGAGTAATTCCTTCTTCCACCCTACTGTACTTTTTTGACTGTCAAACATTATTATTAACTATACATTTATTATATAAATTAGAAAATGAGGGTCACATATCCCCTTCTCCTTGCACTTGTGTAAAATCAAAGTCTTTATCTGGCCACTGTCATGTCACGGCCACCTCTTTTTCTGGATTAAACAAGTGATACCCCATAACTCCTCCCCCACCTCCACTGTGTACACTCTGCTTTTCAAAGTCTCCTTCTGGCCACTGCCACTATGGGTGTCGATAGACAACCCCACCCTACATTCCTTGCACCACCTCTTCCCTGGCCATGGGAAAAAATTATTAATAGCTTGATTTGTGATTTTCAGGAGCATGATGGAGCAGCAACAGAAGCTGATTGTCTTCAACCAGGATCTAAAATGGTAGCGGCAGGGTATGCGTTATTTGGTAGCGCCACAGCAATGGTCATCTCAACTGGATGTGGCATCAACGAATTCATGTTGGATCCGGTAGGTCGCCTGCAGACACTTTACTTTTTTTGTATAATTTGGGCAATTATATGCAAGAATTCATGCTAATTCTTTGTAGAATACAGCATATAATGACATGATGATATCATACTTGGCTTACTTTATTTTATTTTATTTATCTATTTTCATTTGTTCAGATATATGGTAAAAAGTACAAAAAGTCAGAACAAGTGAAATTATTGCTGTACAAAAATTCAAGAAAACCAAATATATACATCAAATACATTCAAACAAACAAAATATTACAAACAACATCAGAATTAATAATCACCAAAAATTAGAAATATACAAGTCATTGGCTACAAAAATAAAGCTTAAAAATACAAATTTAACATTTAAAAAATATGTTCATACAGTATCATATTAAATATCACAAATTTCATCATTTTGAAAATATTAACTTCTTTTTTCATTAATAAGTTCTGTATTAGTCATTATTGAAATAGTTATTGAAAATATTATCACTATTTATTAAATATATTATTATTTTACTGAGTTTTTTTTTAATAATTTAAAATTTTTGTTTTAAAGTGATTAATCATATATGTTTATCTTAAATTCTCATTGTAGTGAATCACTCTATATAAAAAATCTCTATGTGAAAATAAAATATATAAAACCTATAAATTGATAGTGTTACAGAACTCTTGTATAATGGTTTTTTTTTTTTTTTATAATGTTTTTTTTTTTTTTTTTTTTTGTTCATCACAAAATTTCCACCCAACTGATTTTTTAAACGTAGAATGATTAAATTATGATTTAAATAAAGGTATTTGATGTATTTGAATATAAAATAAATACCTATGTGATTTTGGTTAATGTGATTTCATTTTGTTTTCATAGGCTATTGGTGAGTTTGTTCTGACAGAACGCAGCATAATGATGAAGACAAGAGGGAAAATATTCAGCATTAATGAAGGCTATGCCATGTACTGGGATGATGCTACCAAGGAGTATATTCACTCCAAGAAGTTTCCTGAGGATGGTAAAGCACCATATGGCGCTCGCTATATTGGATCCATGGTAGCAGATATGCACAGGACCATCAAATATGGTGGCATATTTCTGTACCCTTCTACATCTGTCGGTGATTACAGGTCTTCAGCAGATTTTGGTCTTAACTAGAAAAATAAATAAGACATTCATTTTTGGCAGCAGAGAGGTATCTTTAGTTGAAGGGGTAGATGTGTATAAGAGACAGCCAGTGAACCACGCTCATAAATAAGCAAGTTATGTTAACACTGTCGTTTTAGAGGATTTTACTATCAATATATAAAAGGTGTGGTCACATGATGCAGAAGCTGTCTCTTATACACATCTAGATGTGTATAAGAGACAGGGTTTATTTGGTGCAAACACCAAGGATAGTCCACTAAAGTCTAGAAGAAGATTTATTTCCAGTGGGGTCTTTCTGGTGGTGATTGGCCAGTACACCAGAAGACAATCCCCTACCCTTTTCCGAAGAGTGTGCTGCATTCTTTAACATGCACATGGGCCATAAGTGCACACGGGACCAAGTGGTATCAGTATTAAAAAGAGGAAGGGAGGGAGAGGGTATGGGAAAACTACCTGGAGAAGTGAGGTAATTTGAGGTGAGATGAACTTGAATGTTTTTTTGCCAAATGGAGGCACAAACATGTAAATTAAAAATATAAACGGATTCCCATATCTAGGTTAAAACTGGTTAAAAACAGATATCTTTGGAGTCAACGGCCAACCATTAATTAGTTTGAGGAATAGGAGTAGTTTAGCCTCATTGGTATTATTATTATTATTATTATTATTATTATTATTATTATTATTATTTATTATTATTATTATCATTTTATTGTTATTTGTATTTTCTTATATTATTTCTGTGTAAAGCGCATAGGAGCAATGTGCAATATTCACTATATAATATATTATTATTAATATTATTATTATTATTATTTTTTTTTTTTTGTTATTATTATTATTATTATATCTTTGTATTATATCTTTGATTTCTTCCAGCTTCGTCTTCAGTATGAAAGCAACCCGATGGCATATTTGGTAGAACAAGCTGGAGGGATGGCAACCACTGGGAATGAGAGAATTCTGGACCTAGTCCCTAAGAGCATTCATGACCGATGCCCAGTTATTATGGGGTCTTACCATGATGTCAAAGAATACCTAGAATGCAAGAAAAAACATGGAAAATAGAATTTTATAACAAATAACGCCAATAAATGAGTTAACCATCATAAAGTGTGGTTTGTCACTGTTCAGGTATTTTTGGTACAGTCATTTTTTTATATAGTTACATTCCAGTTTATAAAGAAATATTTTGTCCACCTTGTTTGATCGATTAGAAAAGACAGCATATATATTTTTATAAGATCAATAAACTAAACACTTTAGTAGCGTACAATTTTACTTTTACTAGTTTTTTTTAATCAATTTTTCAATATTTGTAAAGTTTAGTTTTTGCAATTAATATTAATTATACAACAGTAACTGCTATGAAATTTATACTGGCACTAAGAAACTCGAAAATTCAAATATATAAATAAAGTAGTCCTTCACAAATAAGGAACGTTTACATTAAAGTCAGACTTGCCAAAAGTCCCTTATTTTCTTTTCTTATTCTGGACAGCGCCACCAACGAGTAAGTATGGGACGCCAATTAAATTTGCTATTGCGTGCACTAAGAAAAATAAAAAATGAGTAACCTAAAATTATTGCCAGCAGCCCGGGCTATCCAGAAGTTGGCATAGAACCCAAAATGTCTGACGAGAAAGAAAACTGATCCCCTTTGTTTCTGTGAGTTTTTTCTTCGATTTTTTGGGTGGCAGTATATCTTTAAAATGCATATAATTTTGAAGGGTAATTTCTTGTTAACTTATACTTTTTATATGTCCCGATTTTAAATTCTGATATGTATTTTCTTCCATATTTAGTTTATTTAATACCTTTGCTAAACATTCCACATTCGTTCGTGAAAAACAAAAAATATCCTCAATAAGGTGTTTTATAAAGCAAGTAACCAGTGAACCACGCTCATAAATAAGCAAGTTATGTTAACACTGTCGTTTTAGAGGATTTTACTATCAATATATAAAAGGTGTGGTCACATGATGCAGAAGATACCAGAAAGGAATTTTGTACGATTAAACCCACATTTTGCTATATAACATGATTGTACGAATCCATTCACATGTCTGCAAATTTTCACTCGATTTTTGTTGATAAATCGAATTGTATCAGCGAAATAATAATGCAAGATAGGCTGTTTTTTTCAAACAATGTTTTCAACACCGATAACCGATAGCAAACAAATAAGGAACTAGGTAATAAACATATATTTTTTACAAAATTATTCAAGAAAATATCTGTTGAATTTATATTTATCTTCATTTTATGGCTATGGTATGTAACAATAAAAACTTTTATATAAACTCGTATTTGTATGGATTATCCTTAAATCTATTATATTGTTTGTAATTATTTTATCAACATTGGGTTTACTTGTGTATCATATACCATAACATATTTATTTCACCAGTAAAACAGCAAAAAATTATTGACTGGCCGGATTTCCCAAAAGCAACGTTACTGTCACGTGGCTCTTAGGTAGTGGCTTATGACCAATAGCGAATTTTTGTATTTTGTATTGTGCTGGACGCAGTACTAATGCCTTCTGTCCAGATAAATGGTGATGTTAAGGTAAATTGTACGATGATGGTTATGTTAATAAAATATTATACTGTTTTACTATAATAATATTTTATTAAAAAATTTACCTAAAATATTCCTGTCTCTTATACACATCTAGATGTGTATAAGAGACAGAGGCAAGGCTTTGGAACAGCACCAGTTCCCGGTGTTTTCCTTATAACCTATACAGAGCCGTATATAGAGAGTTTGGCCAACTCTGTTTCACGGGATTCGATATACGCGCGTGTGATTGGGTGGATCGCAATCACCTGACTTACACCGGCCATGTTGTCACCAAAACAAAACATTAAAGCTATACGTGCGCATGCGCCTGGGCTGTTTGGTAACGACATGGCGTCCATGCGCCAAGTTGGCCAAACTCTCTATCTACGGCTCTGAACCTATAATTGTGCTACTGCCCTCTTGAAAGGGTGATTCACATTCTGACAAGGTTCCGGCTGACAATGAACTTAAATCTGTATCATTATAATACTGATGTGAAGAGACGTGTTCTTAGGCCTACATATCCATTCTGGTCTGGCTTAAAAATGATATTTTTTCCTCGATTTCGTCTGACCAAGATGTCAGCAATATAAGGCTTTGATCAAATCACTACTGTCGGGGCACTACCACGACGTTTATTATCAGCCTTACTTAGGCCCCTATATAGGCTGTGGTATAACTTAATGAATGGAATGCTCATAGAAATTATTGAATAGTACAAAAATCGGCCCGCCACTGATCCAAAAAGCTCTATAACGGTGTTTTGCCCTGGGTTTATGGTTAATGTAACTGAAGCAATTTTGATGCAATAAATAGTGAAGTGAAAGCACTTTGAAACTAGTTGAGATTTTTTTGTATCATCACCAGCTTTCGTATACACAGTACGGTAAGTGCAGGGGCTGTCTCTTATACACATCTAGATGCTTTTGCAGAGCTCTGGAACTGTCTCTTATACACATCTAGATGTGTATAAGAGAGTGGTCGGGTATCGCTCAAAATCTCTCGGAAGTGGTCCAGGGGCCAATTTAGGGTTTTCAAAGTCTTATTTAATCAATTTTAGATAGAGGGCTATTTATTGAAAGACTTATGTCCCCTGGCCCACTAATGCCACCCATGGTTGATTGAAGTGTACTTTGTACACGAAGAAGTGTACATGAACGCTTTTGAAAATTAAAACTTCAACTGCAGTCTCAAACTGCTACTTTTACTGTTTATTGTTGTACAACTAGTACGGCTCACCATTATTCAATTTAATGTATTGCAATCAAATAAATATGACAAAAGTTCCAGAGACTACTGTATATCTCATTAAAAAAATATAGGCATTAGTGGTGCCATTGTAGGCCACCTAAAGTGCCATGACAAAAATGTTTTTGCCTCACCCCACTGACCATGGTGGGGCTGAGGTTATCTGGAACGTCCATTTGTGAAATTGACTTTCTGAAAGCCCCCACCCCCACGTTTTCAGATTTCTGGATCCGCCATTGATAGTAACTTACTTTTTAACTAACAGTGATGTCGGTGATTACAGGTCTTCAGCAGATTTTGGTCTTAACTAGAAAAATAAATAAGACATTCATTTTTGGCAGCAGAGAGGTATCTTTAGTTGAAGGGGTCTTTGATTGGTGGGGTCTATTATAGGGAGACCTATAGGCCTTTATATCAAATTCTAAACACAATATTATAGCAATAACAAAAGTTTAATGAACTATCGAATTGTTGTTGGCGTGACAAATACCGACTTTAACCGTCCACAGGTCGGTAGATAACATAATGATATGCTGTGCTATTACTCTTACTCTCATGTTTAAATAAAATTCTACCTTGAACTTATTATTTTATCAATAGGTGGAATAGTTTTCAATTTAAATTTCATAACCAAATGCACCTAAATTGTATAGTCTTAATGCACCACTGAAAAAAGAGGTAATACATTTTTTTCCGACTGAGTTGAGTTGTGAGGAAGAGCAAATAGACAAAGGAAACAATATCAGAAATATCAATAGAAAGCTAAAATAACTGCATAATACAGATTTTAAACAATTACATTGTTTTGTAAAAGATTGTACAAGTATGCCTACAGTGGGCCCTTTCACCAGAGCCGGAGCTGTGGCGTGAGGCTGTAATTGCAAGTGGGCCGAAATACTCTGTGGCTAACACACAAAACCAGATTTTTTGCGATTTTTTTTCCCTCGGGTTCGGGGGCCTATCTTTTCCCATTGGGGCCTGTGGGCCTGAGGCTGGCGCCCCCAAAAGCCCCTATGTTAATCTGGCCCTGGCTTTTATCGGCAACTATCTAAATACCCGGAAAGGGAAAGAACCACGGCTATTTGTTGACCTACTCACAGTAATATCGGCCGATGATGTATCCATCTATTATTAGTGCATTTTACTCTTAAATTATATACATGTAGATCTATATTTTTAGCCTTATAAAGATTCGGTAGCCCTATTTGTTGAAGTTTAAGATAACATAACTAATTTCCTAAACTTGGCACACCCCCCACGAACCCTGTTTACTTAATGATTATAGCGTCCTTGTGTTCCGTCCCTTGTTTGTTATACAGCAAATATTTTTCCAATACCCGTCCACCATGGCGATCGAAGTTATTCAAAGGGCGATTTTACATTTCGATTGGAACTCCGGTTTGTTAGGAATACTTTTATTCTTTCTTATCTGTGTGTTATTTTGGAGACGTAGGAAATCTCAACTTAACTTTCCTCCGGGTCCGCTTGGATTGCCGTATATTGGAAATCTTTTGGCTTTAGCAGGCGAGGCCCCTCACGAGACTCTGATGAAGATATCTAACAAATATGGCAGTGTGTTTGGATTAAAGTTAGGTGTCTTTCCCGTTGTGGTTTTAAGTGATTACAAGAGCATCAAAGAGGCTTTTGTAAAATCTGGAGATAAATTTAGTGACAGACCAAGAATGGTAATGTTTGATGGAATCAGTAAAGGACGAGGTAAGATCATTACCCATAAGATGGGATAACTTAGGTCACTTTTTTCATATCCTTTGAAATGTCTCGCCAACTACCCCATTTAATCCAGAAAATACTTATAGTGAGATCATTGTTATGTAACTGGATGTGTCATTATTAGGAATGTGGCAATAATCTTAATAAATTTTAATTTTCTTTGTAACCCAAAGGTGTGATTGGAGCGTATCACGAAAAGGGACAAAAAGAGCAGCGGCGTTTTGCTCTGTCCGCGCTTCGGAGCTTTGGTATGGGGAAAAGGAGCTTCGAAGAAAAGATCACCGAAGAAATAGAAGTCTTCGTTGAGCACATCAAGAACAACTTTTCCAGAGTTGCCTTTGATCCCTCGCACATCATCAGTACATCTGTTTCTAATGTCACTTGTTCAATCATCTTTGGTCGTAGGTTCGACTACCGTGACAAAACATTCATGGAAATGCTGAGGATAATGCACCGAAGTATCGAACTCTCAACCAATGCCAGTGCCATGAATTTCCTGCCTGTTTTGAAATATGTACCACATACTGCTTTTGCAGAGCTCTGGAAAAATTACCTGACTTTTAAAGATTTCCAAATAGGTATTTTCAATGAACATTTAAAGGAATACGATCCAGAGAACCCACGAGATTTTATCGACATATACAGGACACAAATCTCCAAGGATAAAAGTGGAGTGACATCTTTCGACGAGGCTAACATGGCATTCGTTACAGCAGATTTATTCGTCGCTGGGACAGAGACCACAGCAACTACACTACTCTGGGCACTGCTGTACATGACACTGTATCCAGACATTCAACAGAAGGTACAGGATGAACTGGATAAAGTAGTAGGAGCAGGGAGTCACCCAACGAAAGAACATATTCAACGGCTTCCGTACACTGAAGCTGTGCTTCTGGAGATTCAGAGAATGGGTGCAATCGTTCCTCTCGGAGTACCCCATGCTGCATCACTCGACACAAAATTTCATGGATATGATGTAAAGAAAGGTACGATTATTATAGCGAATATTTTTGCAGTATTACGAGATCCTGACCTTTGGGAAGATCCGAACGTATTCGATCCGAATCGATTCCTAGATGCTAACAATCAAGTCGTTAGGCGTGAGGAACTGATTCCGTTTTCGATTGGTGAGACAAAGTTTATTTATTTGTTTCTTAATTGTGATCCGATTAATATTTTAGACTGCTTAGATAGTTTCTTTCATGTTATATTATTTTTTAACCATCCAAATGTAATGTATAGTTATGTATATAGGCCCAGAATATATATGATAATAAAGTTTTTTTTTTGTTTTGTTTTTTTTTTTATTTCACCAGGTCGACGTGCGTGTCTGGGAGAACAATTGGCTAAAATGGAACTGTATTTATTCTTTACCAATCTCATGATGCGTTTTAACTTCAGACGACCAGACAACGCACCAGAACCAAACTTGCGCGGCAAGACGGCAGCAACACGAATACCTCACAGTTTTGAAATAAAAGCAACATCAAGGGTTGCATAGTTACCTGGACCTATTAACCTGGAAATAGGGATTCAGGGATTCTAATTAGAGGAGCTCATTAGAGATAGACAGGTTCCAATCCCAAAAATGATGATGCAATTATAGCCTAATAGGCATTTTTAGGTAGAAGCTCGAATCCACTTGATTTAGAATATTTTGACCATGTTGATTACGAATCTGGTGGACCCAAAGCAAAATTCTTCGATCTAATGGTCAAAATGACCGATTATATGCAAAATTATCCATTGTTTGGGGAAAAAATCTGTGTTTCGGTTACTATAAATCATACAGAGTTCATTTTGGTCAGTGGTGGCGCCAGAGGGGGGATGGGGAAGCCCAGCCCCCCCCCCCCCCATGTCGAGAAGGACGAGTAAATTTTGTTGGGGAATAAACAAATAAAAAAAAAAGATTTACTTTTATTAAACTACTGTATTTGTGTTAACTTTTCATCACAATATAATAATAATAATAATAATAATAATAATAGTAATAATAATAATAATAATAATAATAATAATAGTAATAGTTAGATGAGACTAACTAAAAATAATTCTGTTATAACAAATGCTCGTTTGGATAGCCTCAAAGTCCTTGGAATACATCGTGATAGGGTAAGCAACCTCAACCTTGACAGCGTGGTTGACAGATTTCGTGCAAAATTTAAAAAATGTGGAAATTCACTTTCAAAAATGAGGATTTGAAAATAAATTAGATGGTTACATTGCATACTCTTTGTTTCTTGTTTTATTCAAAGTGTTTTGGTTTTGGAAGCTGATTTCAACATTAGAAAACATAGCCTACAAGAAGTCATATTATAGTAGCTCGATGCCTATCAAATAAGTAATAAAAATTCGCCATAATTTGTCAAATATCCGTGGGTTCCAGGCGCCTCCTGGGCCCCACCGGGGGCCCTAGGCGGCCCCCCTGGCCGTCAGCCAAGTGAGACTCGATTCGCTCCACTAACCCTTCCCCTCCCGTCGGGGCCCTTAGCCCCTCCGTCGGGCAGGTCCTGGCGCCATCACTGATTTTGGTACCAAACTCTTCGGAAGACTCATGTTTCTATTCGATATAATAGAACATTTCCAAAACAGAATACCAGGAAAAAGTTATTACCAAAACCACAAGTTTTTGGCCAAAAAACATGTTTTTAAATAATTTTCTTGTTTTCAGAGCCATCAAATGCTTCCACTTATTCGATGGTGACAAATGATAACCAGGGAGATGTTTACATCTCCCTGTGATAACTAAAGTTACAATAATGACAAATAATAAATATTTAAAAAGAAATTCTAACTAATAAGTTATGCATAAATATATAATTGGTTTAATTTTTTTTAAAAGCCGGTTTTAAAGAAATGTAGGAATAAATTTGACTGTCTCATTCATGAAATGCTATTTATTAGACAATTAAAACCCAGTCTGAATAAACAATGTGACTCTGTCAAAGCAAAGCTGTTTATCTAACACAGGGATTAATATCCCACTGTTATGAACTTTGACATTGTATATTAGCTTTTTTCTATTGACTATAGTTGCTGTATATTCTATACTTCATCATTTGATCTTGAAAATGACACCATGAAGGAGTCGAAACGTCGATCCTTTCTTTTTAGCGTTATTTTTAAATTAAATATTTTTGGTAAAATTGTAAAAAAATCCGGAAAACTCGGTAACTCTGTTAATATTTGTGCAGGAGGGTTGAATTTGGTCTCCTATTACTCAGAAAAAACATATTTCTATTAGCTGTAATGAAACATTTTCTCCAAAAAAATTAACATGAAAATATTTATTAGTAAAAACCTACAATTTAGGGCAAAACACATGCTTTTTAAAATGCTTATTTTAAAGGCCGTAAGATGTTTTAATTCATTACTACTTGTACTAGTACTTGTAGCGGTCTGATTTCAGACATTCGTTAGCCATTTATATTATGTTGATTAAAAGACTGCATTGAATCCTGGCAAATGATCTAAATTGACATTAATACTTTTTTTTTCCATTATTCTTATACTTATGTGCATAAAAATGTACTTAATTTTACAAAAATGTTTTGGTGAAATTTGGCAAAATCAGGAACACTCTGTAACTTTGTTATTATATGTTCAGGAGAGTTGAATTTGGTCTCATAGGATTATCACTCAGAATAAATATATATGTATTACCTGTAATGGAAGATTTTTTTCCAAATATTACCATGAAAATATTTATAAGCAAAACCTGTTTTTTGGGTAAGTTTAACATAATTTTTATAATTTTCATAATTGGCTGTTGAGGATGAAAACATAAAGAAATAGGTTGCCTGTATCTGCTGACCTCATATATGCAGGCACAGTTAGTTCAAATCAGTACTAACATTCAGAGTGCATGTGTATAGCCACCGTATTGAACGTTATCGGCAGGTATATGTTAGGTGGATGAATAAATAAAACTAGTTCATAATGTGATTGTTAAATTTGAATTCATTAAAAAAGCAACTTTTTAATAATGCTAATCTTGTGTGACAATCATGTAATGGTCAAGTAGCCAGTAATTTATTGAATGCTAAAGCAACATTTGATTTGTATCCGACCAGTTCGCCGAGCTCCAGATTTTCCAAATCTAGGAACAAAATTTATTCAATATAAATCATTAATACAATGACAAAGTAATGTATATGGTACATTAATAGGCAAATGAATATAATTCAATTTATTGAGTTGTTTACAATGCCAATTTGTCAAATTCCAGTTAGCTAACTTAACAATCATGATACCCACTTTTCCGAAACCCAGTTTGTTGAAATTCAGTTTGCCGAAAATTAACCCAGTGTTCTAAATCATTTTGTCTACTATTCTACCTTCAAAAGGACAGGGAGAAGCAGCCTACTTTGTTGATAAATGGGCTGTTCAAGCGGAGCCGTATGCCTATCGGATGCTACCCAAGTTCAGACAAAATATATGATTCTGTTTACTAGAAAAATTGATAGGCCTAGTTTGTGTCAGATTTCTCATTCTCTCTCGATAAAGCTACGGTGTTGCGGTGGCGGTTTCAGACACTTCGTCGTTAACAAAGAACCAATCTAACTGAATAAAATAACATGGTTTCTTAGAAAGTGGCTATAATAGCACTCATAGACTGCGAAAAATAATTGTGTTCATGCTTGATCGTTATTAAAAAGATTAAAATTAATTTTGGCGTTGGCATTTATTTAATTGATAAAAATATATTTCTATACTTTAGTGTTTGAAGTAAATATATATATATATATATATGGTTATGTTTTCCAAAATCTCGTCATTTATTATTAATTAATAAAAAACTGATTTAAATTAGTCCCGGCCGGCATTATTTCATAATGTCATTTCAGAAGGATGCATACGCGTAAACAAAGTAGCTCCAGATATTCATGCCTCTTTCAGTGTTTTGTCACAAATATGAGCCAACTATGTCTTTCTCAATATTTATATGTTGTTATTATTTTGTATCGCTATAATTTTCAATTATTTACAATTATCTCCGCAATATCCAGTCAATGGTACAGTAATACTTATGACCGTCACACATCACGTGTCGGATCGGTGGCCAGGTCACACTGCCGACAATCGATGGAAAACAAAAACAAGATAACATGATTTCCATTGAAATGTAAGTACAGTATTACATTATTAATATTTAGTTCCAAAGTAAGAGCTATAGTCTACAGTTTAGGGTCATTCTTCAGTAAAGTGCCATTTTCCCGTCCCTCTGTTTTGATGTAGTATAAATTTTAAAATATTAAAGGAAGTTTTATTTTTATTGCGTTAATGCAATCTCGAACATATTTTTTAGTGAAATAAGTTGTTAAATATTTTAAAAGTAATCAACATGCTGTTTATTTTTCAACAAAAAGCCTCCAAAGTCGCGCACTTTGCATGTCCCGATTGGATTTCTTAAAAATTCCTAATGTCATAATTTGTAAAATAAATAACTTAAATAAATAAATGTACCACAAAAAGGTGAATACAATTATAGATGTCTTACAGATTTAAAATTAAAAATGACATCAATAGATCTATAAATACTTAAAATTTGACTTTTTTAGACTAAAAAAATTGTCCCTGAATTGTCATCATCTCCGTCACAATACTTTAAAATGCCATTATAGCTGTTAGCAAAATGACATAACAAGTTATGGATCAAACCATTTTGGTTGAAGGGGACCATACAGTAAGAAACAGTCCATTCTTGTACAGTTAAACCACCTATAACTGAAGAATTCATGCTTTTCTAATAACAAATAGGAAAGTACCTTTATTCAGCATCATCTCCGAACGCTTCAGAGTATCCTTTATTTATAATTTTTTTAGAAAAAAACAATTATATATACGATCAGAATTGTGTCATTTTCAAAGTACACATGACATTCACCCTGTAACACACTGCATATGGCACTGTATGATCTAACAAGTTTAATTCCTCATCTCCGTCACAGTCATTTCCATCACAATTTTACTGTGATGGAGATGACTTCTTTACGTTTCCTCAAAAAAGAATATATAATAACAATTATAATTGATCTGGTTTATGTCGTTAGAAACCTTTTTGCTCAATGTTTATTTTTCTATATTTAAATAATATAATCTATCTTTTAAATTTACTAAGATTCACATTTATGAGTATATCATCATCTCCGTCACAACAAAGTGTGATGGAGATGATTTCTTGATGTTTTCCGTTCTCAGAAACAGCTATAAAATAAAAATGGTAATTGATACGACTTATGTTGTTAGAAACCCGTTTGTTCAATGTGCATTATCCTATATTTAAATAATACAATCTATCTTTTAAATTTACTAAGATTCACATCTATATGTATATCATCATCTCCGTCACAAAAAGTGTGATGGAGATGATTCTTGCAATATTTGCTAATGTTACAGCACTGAAAATTGAATGCTTAAATAAACGTTTAAAATGCCCTAATTATCGTGCGAATGTTTATTATAGTTGTTATATGGCATAATGATGACATGTGTAATAAAAGAATTACAAATGTTAAACTTTTTTTTTTCATGATTTCTAAACCTCTAAAATGGCACATTAGCGAAGAATGACCCTTTACCTGTCAACTTTCCGACATTCGATTCTTTAGGCCCGTCTTAACCTACAGCTGGCCTAGGCTGGTAGGCCTAGCTTAGTCAATTAGGCCTAGGGAAGCCTGTAACCCACCACACAACATCACAAGCACCACATTGGCCATTGATAGCCAATAACGATCACTGTCACGATAATTTCGCAGGCATCTTATTCTAGCCCACCCGGGTAAACATGTTAAATGCTACATTAAACACCAAATATACGCCTACATGTTATTTTCAGTGTCTGTCAATCCGACATTAATTAGGCCTAGGCCTAGATTTTTATAGGGCCCTTTTAAAAACTTGTACCTACAGTAGGGCTAGGCTACGGGGTCGTGACAAACTGCGAGTCAGCGAGGCAGGCTGACATGCAAGCCATCTACAGTCGTC